AGAGTAGACTGCAATGCCGGCTGTTCTGACTCACAGACTGTAAGTACTTTTTTATATTTAAAGAATTTGCCACTGATGATTCAAACGCGAGTTTTGAGCAGTGTGGAGTAGTGCTTGTTGTTTGTCATTTCTCCGATCACAAATGCAGACGTGGTTTTATGTTTACGCGGCGCGATGCAACGCGTATAAAGACAGTACAAGTCATTATATTCCATAATTATGTCCCCACTGGATGCAATGAATGCCTCGTTTATAATGGGTTTTCATGTTTTCGAATCATGGCTCCGGCCTGACAGGGCAACATCACAATATGGTAAGGGGCGTAACATTTCCGTCACACGCTTGAGGTATTCGGCCAATCACAACGCACTGGATAGCTGGCCAATCACAGCACACCTCGCTTTTTCAGACCGATGAGCTTTATAAAAATCAACGCGTTTCAGAAAGGCGGGGCATAAAGGAGAAACAATAATGTACAGTATGTGGAAAATAATGTGTTTTTTTAACCTTAAACCGCATAAACACATTTCATTACACCAAATACACAAAATAATGTTCTTTTTAGCAGCATCATATGACCTCTTTAAACTAAATAATTACAAAACTACTACAGTAAAAAGGGCTAAATTACAGAGCCCTGCAAACAAAAAATTATTTATATTGTGGCCACAAATTAAGAATTTGTTCCCAAGATTAATTTGTTCCTTCATTTTAGTTAAATTGTGGTCACAACTTAAGGATCAGTTCCCTCGTTTTAGTAAATCATGACCACGTTGTACTAATTTGTTTCCTGGTTTAATTAAACCAAAACAAGTGAACCAGTTAGTACAACGTGGCCACAATTTACTATAATAAGGAAACGAATTATTAAGTTGTGGGAACAAATTCTTAATTCGTGGCCATGTCATGTGAAAAGGCTTCATATTAAATAATAATAATAGAACATATATACTTTTGTGGCATTTTTTCCTTACATTTTTATTAATATTTAAAGTCAACAAGAAATCACTGTGTCATTATTGCATATCAATCCAAAGGAAAAAATATCCTATTTAAAATCAAATTGGTTGTAAATGCTGTTGACTTTTGTTGTTGAGAATTAGGTCGTAGCCATATGAGAATAAGGTTATAATATTTTGAGAGTATAGCCTATATTGTGCATGCAAATGGCCAGGATTGGGAGCACTGGGAGAAATTCCGGTGACCTGGCAACTGATTTGAATATATGTGGGATTATTAGCAGAAATCATACCATGTGTCATATACTCACAAGGACCGTATGCTTGGAAATAATATTTCACGTCTTCGAAATGCATTCAATATTTGTATTGCACCAGCCACCCAATATGCTTTGTGATTTTGGTACTTTTAATATAAAACAAAGTCTCAGCTTTCAAATTCTTTCAGTTTTATAGCAAAATACAAACAATATGTCTTACAATAATGTGTTTTTCACGCTCTTTATTAATGTGGCGTGACAGATCGCTGTAAATCAATCATCTTTTCGATGACAATGAGACATTCGTTTCATTAATTTATACTGGGGGTTTTTCATGCCTTCTGATGTTCCTTCACGTTTATATCGTGCTATAACATCTAATAAAGTGGAAAAACACATTTATAATTTTTATTTCATGATAAAACATGATTTGAAAGCTGAGCTGTGTTATATTAAAAGCAACAAAGCACAAAGCTTATTGCGGTTACTGGGTGTCTGCGCGCTACAAATAATTAATGGATTTGAAGACAGAAAATATTATTCCCGATCATTTATTATACCGTGAATAAAACAGCTTGTGAATTGTCACTTATTGTCGTTATCAGAAAAGACAACAATATAACTTAAGATAACGAGTTGGAGCCCACTTCAACCTTTAGAACGTTTTATTGCTGGTTTTAATTAAACACATGTGAAGAAAGAAAGGTTGGAAGCCACAGACGTTTTTTTGCAGAGTAGGTGGTGGAATTTTCACATTAATGTTATTCATGCAATATACTGGCCTTGCTACAACTTCATTCTCAAAATATAATGACTTTAATCTCGTATTGCTACGACTTTATTCTCAAAATATTACGACTTTAATCTCGTATTGCTACAACTTTATTCTCAAAATATAATGACTTTAATCTCGTATTGCTACAACTTTATTCTCAAAATATAATGACTTTAATCTCGTATTGCTACGACTTTATTCTCAAAATATTACGACTTTAATCTCAAATGGCTACGACTTTATTCTCGAAATTTAGATTTTATTCTCAAAATATTATGACTTTAATCTCATAATCTTAAATGTTATTTTTATTTTACGTGTCACTAAAACGCCGTCGTATAATCTAGTGCTGTCAATCAGTGTAAAAAAAAACTAATTAATCGCACATTTCTTCTGAAAATAATCGCGATTAATCACACTTAGCATTAACGTTTTTAAATATACTTTTATATTGCAATAATTTCACACTCAATCTCCAAATGAATGTAGAAACAACATAAAGACAGCATATTTTTAATATTTGTTCAATGGCATCAGTCAAGGCTCACTGATACCAATACTTGATGTCTCTAGGAAATTGTTTTTTTACCCTAATATTTTACTATTGACTATAGCCTTTAAACATTACAGTGTAATTGAGAGCTATTAATTTTAGCATTTATTAGACTTTAAAAAATAACTTTTCATTTAAATGAACTTAAAGGGCACCTATTATGCAAAATTCATTCATAAGCAGTGTCTCAGAACCAGCCATTCGCAGAAAGTGACGTCACTTTGTACAGGCCCCGCCCACGACTGTTGATGATATATTAGCACAGACCCCGCCCTGAGTGAGCCGCACACAATCCGCTGTTTATCTTCACACTATAGCATTTAAAAGCAGCATTCAAGTAAGAAACGCAATTCTTGTCAAAAAAAAAAGAGAGAGAGAAGCAACAGTTGTGAGTGGGGAAGCCAACACTAGCTCTGCTCCTGCGTTAGTTGTGCTAAATATTTTAACGCGTTAAACTGAAAAAAAATAATCGCATGCGTTAACACGTTCATTTTGACAACACTAGTTTAATCATGTCTTTTTTACTGTCTTCTTTTCAGATATCAGATATCCTCGCCACAGAAAGCTCATCAGCATTAATAAAATATACACCGGGAGGCGGAACAAAGAATTCAACTTGCGTCATGATTGGAACTCCCTGTTGAGTGACAGGCCCGACCTCCTGTTTCAGAGAATAAGCCAGGAGCTTTATCCCAGTGCTGATGACTTCCCACGTTACCTCTCGATGTTTGTGAAGGAGCTGGGACTGAAGGTTAAATATGGAGCTGATATAGGGAGAATTAAAACATCAGATTTGAATGAAAACCAAGGCTACGTTCTGACTGATCAGAATGGTGTCAGTTATCAGTGCAGGTATGATGCATTTCATTTCAAATTTAATTATTTAATTAAATAATTTAAAATTATTTATTAAATTTAACCTTTACAGGGTTATTTCACCCCAAAATGAAAATTCTGTCATTAATTACTCACCCTCGTGTTGTTCGAAACCCGTAAGATCTTCGTTCATCTTCGGAACACAATTTAAGGTATTTTTGATGAAATCTGAGGGCTCTCTGACCCTCCCATAGACAGCAAGGTAACTACCACGTTCAAGGTCCAGAAAAGTTTTTTTTTTGCTTTTTTGCGCAAAGAAAACAAAAATAACCACTTTATTCCACATTTTCGTCTCTACTGCGATTATTAGCAGAAATCATACCATGTGTCATATACTCACAAGGACCGTATGCTTGGAAATAATATTTCACGTCTTCGAAATGCATTCAATATTTGTATTGCACCAGCCACCCAATATGCTTTGTGATTTTGGTACTTTTAATATAAAACAAAGTCTCAGCTTTCAAATTCTTTCAGTTTTATAGCAAAATACAAACAATATGTCTTACAATAATGTGTTTTTCACGCTCTTTATTAATGTGGCGTGACAGATCGCTGTAAATCAATCATCTTTTCGATGACAATGAGACATTCGTTTCATTAATTTATACTGGGGGTTTTTCATGCCTTCTGATGTTCCTTCACGTTTATATCGTGCTATAACATCTAATAAAGTGGAAAAACACATTTATAATTTTTATTTCATGATAAAACATGATTTGAAAGCTGAGCTGTGTTATATTAAAAGCAACAAAGCACAAAGCTTATTGCGGTTACTGGGTGTCTGCGCGCTACAAATAATTAATGGATTTGAAGACAGAAAATATTATTCCCGATCATTTATTATACCGTGAATAAAACAGCTTGTGAATTGTCACTTATTGTCGTTATCAGAAAAGACAACAATATAACTTAAGATAACGAGTTGGAGCCCACTTCAACCTTTAGAACGTTTTATTGCTGGTTTTAATTAAACACATGTGAAGAAAGAAAGGTTGGAAGCCACAGACGTTTTTTTGCAGAGTAGGTGGTGGAATTTTCACATTAATGTTATTCATGCAATATACTGGCCTTGCTACAACTTCATTCTCAAAATATAATGACTTTAATCTCGTATTGCTACGACTTTATTCTCAAAATATTACGACTTTAATCTCGTATTGCTACAACTTTATTCTCAAAATATAATGACTTTAATCTCGTATTGCTACGACTTTATTCTCAAAATATTACGACTTTAATCTCGTATTGCTACAACTTTATTCTCAAAATATAATGTTTTTTGCTTTTTTGCGCAAAGAAAACAAAAATAACGACTTTATTCCACCCAGGGTCAGCGCCGGCGCCTTCACACGCTCACGTCATGATACTGTCGTGAACGCGCGTCCACAAGTGACGCAGTAGAGATGAAAATGTGGAATAAAGTCGTTATTTTTGTTTTCTTTGCGCAAAAAAGTATTCTTGTAGCTTTGTAACTTTACAGTTTAACCACTGATGTCACACGGACTACTTTGTCGATCATCTTGGTACTTTTCTGGACCTTGAACGTGGTAGTTACCTTGCTGTCTATGGGAGGGTCAAAGAGCCCTCAGATTTCATCAAAAATATCTTAAATTGTGTTCCGAAGATGAACGAAGGTCTTACGGGTTTACGCTTTGCGCAAAAAAGTATTCTTGTAGCTTTGTAACTTTACAGTTGAACCACTGATGTCACACAGACTACTTTGTCGATCATCTTGGTACTTTTCTGGACGTTTCTTGAACGTGGTAGTTACCTTGCTGTCTATGGGAGGGTCAGAGAGCCCTCAGATTTCATCAAAAATATCTTAAATTGTGTTCCGAAGATGAACGAAGGTCTTACGGGTTTGGAACAACACGAGGGTGAGTAATTAATGACAGAATTTTCATTTTTGGGTGAACTAACCCTTTAATTAATTTAACATTTATTTAATAATGTTTTCAAGTGCTTGTCATGTCTCTTTGAAATACGATTTCATCTTTTTTTGTCTCTGTAGTGTTCTGTTGGTGTCCACTGGCCTTTGGGTTCCTCAACAGGTGGGTTTTCTTGGTTCTGACCTAGTGGAGGGTTACGAGTCTATTCCCACTGATCCTGAGGAGTTTAAAGACCAGGCTGTGTTAATCCTTGGCAAAGGAAACTCCGCCTTTGAGACGGCACAGAGCATCTTGGGTAGAGCGAGCCGGATTCACTTGTATAGTCCCAGCCCAGTACGGCTTGCATGGCAGACACACTATGTTGGGGACCTCAGGTGTTTATTCCACCCTGTCCAACTTTTTGCATAATGTATAAAATGAATGGTTTCAAGTTTGCTTATAGCTGCAACCAAAATGCACAAGTGATTTATCCAGGTTTCACGTGAGGGCAAATATTTCCCCACGCAGATTTCACAACAGGTTCAAGTTGGTCACTCGAATTTGCCACACTGACCAACAGAAAGCTTCTTGGTTTGAAAGTGACCTTTGTGTGAGCTGTGCTTCATACATTGCTACACTATTGACAGTAGACAGTGGATCTTTTGTGCCCACAATATTTTGCTAATGTGATTGCACCTTAAGTTGAAATGAACATTTCTCTTTTGTAGGGCAGTAAACAATGAGCTATTAGACACGTACCAGCTGAAATCTTTAGACGGCCTAGTGGAGGGAAGACTGGAGGATATTGCCATTGTTCATAAAGAAAAAGATGGAGGGAAGAGAAGAACAGCAAAGAAAAACAGTCAAACACCAACAGAGGGAAAGGAGCAGCTGTATTTAACTCTTACTGAACTTCTTGATGACCAGAATGGCAACAACATTTCAAAGGTCACTGGGCAAAATCTGCCTGGTTACCACACTGATAACTTCTCATTCAGACAGCCATATGACAGAGTGATCCGATGCCTGGGCTTTCGTTTTAACTTTTCCATTTTTGATGGGTAAGATCAACAATCGAAATGATGAATATGCCCAGTTATTTTACATTGTAATAATATTTAACTGTATTACTATTTTACTATATTTTTGGTGTGCTTTTTGGCTGGTAGTGTAATTATGGTCACATTGACAAAATATTTTCATTACTTATCCAGATCTGCGCGGCCGCCCCAAAGCAGTGGTGCCCGAGGTCGATTGCCAGGAATAACAGCCTGGTATGAAGGCAGAGGTACCCCCAACATGTTTGTCCTGGGTACAGCAGCCCACTCCAGAGATTATCGTATGTCTGCCGGTGGGTTTGTTCATGGATTCCGCTAAACTGGTAAGCATTACACCTCATTTAAACATAACATTTCAGGTTCGTCATAAGAACGTAGGAGGTCATAATAAAGTTCCTCTGTTTTGCTACTACAGTGCGTGCTGTTCATAAAATCCTGGAGCAGCGTTACCATAACATTGCCTGGCTTGCTACAAAATTATCTATTAGTCAGCTGCAGTCCTGGATTCTTAGGAGGGTGAATGAAGCTTCTGGACCGTATCAGATGTTTGGGGTTCTTGGGGACATTATTCTACTGCGAGGGTAAGAAATGTTTTAAGGGATGCATGTACAGTACAATATGTGGTAACACTTTACAAAAAGGTTCATTAGTTAACATTAGTTAACTACTTTAGATAACGTGAACTAAGAATGAACAATACTTCTACAGCATTTATGAATCTCAGCTAATGTTAATTTCAACATTTACTAATGCATTATTAAAATCAAAAGTTTTGCTTGTTAACATTAGTTAACTACTTTAGATAACGTGAACTAAGAATGAACAATACTTCTACAGCATTTATGAATCTCAGCTAATGTTAATTTCAACATTTACTAATGCATTATTAAAATCAAAAGTTTTGCTTGTTAACATTAGTTAATGAATTAACAATGTACAACTGAATTTCATTAACTAACTTTAACAAAGATGAATAAATACTGTAATAAATGTATTGCTCATTGTTTGTTCATGTTAGTCAATACATTAACTAACATTAACTAATGGAATTGTAAAGTGTTACCCAATATGTTGTACTTAGTTGTCAATCATTCAGCTGATGAAATTTGGGGTTGATTAGATTATATTTGGAAGAAGTCTCTTACGCTTACCAAGGCTGCATTTATTTGATCAAAATACAGTAAAAACACCAATATTGTGAAATATTATTATAATTTCAAATAGCTCTTTTCTAATCTAATATATTTTAAAATGTAATTTATTCCTGTGATGCAAAGCTGAATTTTCAGCATCATTACTCCAGTCTTCAGTGTCACATGATCCTTTAGAAATCATTCTAATATGCTGATTTGCTGCTCAAGAAACATTTATTATTATTGTTATTATTATTATTGAAAACAGTTGTGCTCCTTAATATTTCTGTGGAAACTATAATACATTATTTTCAGGATTATTTGCTGAATAGGAAGTTAAAAATAACTCATTTGAAATAGAAATCTTTTGTAACATTATAAATGTCTTTACTATCACTTTTGATCAATTTAATGCATCCTTGCTGAATAAAAGTATTAATTTCTTTTTAAAAAAAACAAACATTTTACTGAGCAGTCTTTCCAAATGTCCAGTGAACTCTAAACTCATGGGTTGCCAAAATTGTATCCGTCTTCCGACCTTGACAACGTTGAACGGACTGTAATTCTATCCCTCATGGCCTGTTTTCATTTATATCAAATTAGATATGGCTACTGTGATAACTGTTTTTTTCCTACACAAATCTCTCTCCTCCTTCTTTCCACAGGTCTTACTGTGAATATCTGGAGGAGTTTCCTCTACAGGCCTTGCCCCAGCTGTCTGCTCTATCTGGACGGCCCCTTTCGGATCATGGTCTTCTGGTCTTGGTCATGCAGTATGGACTAAACCAGACTGATACGCTAGGACCAGGTCGAGCTGAGTCAGAATGGACCAAAGCCTGGAGGTCCAACTTCCTCCATCCGGTCCTGTACTACTACAACACACTACCTACAGGTGAAGAGCTGCTCTAACATGTTCTGTTGATTTCTATATAGTGGATACAGAGCAAAGTAATTCTTAATCTCACATATGTGGACGTGTATGAGATTGGGATGTTGTTGAGAAAACATTTTGGACTATCCTGTTCCTGATATTCTATCATAATCACGTACTGGAATATGAAAATCAGTGTGCTCTGTTTCTCTAGAGAAAGATATGAAACAGCGTCCTGTTAGCTGGCCACTACCACGACCTGAGGCCGTTCATCACATGGTTGAGGACTTCTTAACTGAATGGGATCAGCCCATATCACACAGCCAACCTCTCAGACGCTTCCTCGAGCACTGCCTCCAAACTGACCTCAGGGCCTTTTATGCTGGTCAGTACAGAAATGTTCTTCTGAGACATTTTTTGAGTGCCAATAATTCTCAAATTCTCAAATTAAATGCTGTTCTTTTAAACTTTCTATTCATCAAAGAGTCCAGAAAATGTATCAGTTTCTACAAAAATATGAAGCAGCACAACTGTTTTCAACACTGATAATAATAAGAAATGTTTCTTGATCAGCATATCAGAATGATTCCTGAAGGATCATGTGACACTGAAGACTGGAGTGATGATGCTGATAATTCACCTTTGCCACAGTTATTTACTACAACGTTATTACAGCTATTTTAAATTGTGCAGGACTTAATCATTTATTATGTGCCTCTGTGTGTCCTTTTTCTTCAGAATCCTGTTTCCTTCTGTCCCTCACCAGTCGTACCCCACCCCTCTTCTGCCGTCAAGGTTATTTAAGAAAGCAGGGCATTGTGGGAAATAGCCACCTATGGCAACATGCCCGTGAGGCAGGACTTATGGCAGATCATCAGGGAGACACTTCAGTATCTGAATACCTGAAACATGCTGGCGCTGCAGTTGTTTCAACTATGAACTTTGACCTTTGAAGGGCATTAACGGTACCAAAGACCAAATCTGTCCTGCTAAAATCCTGTTAATCTACCTCCCATTTCTCAATTTACTTACATTTCCATAGAAAACGTCCCGCATCCAGCATCCTGAGACTACGATCAAACATACAGTTAAGTTAAATAATGAGTATTGCCTTGCCATAGTTTTTATAAACCAAAGTATAGATTTATATACTGTTTTATGGTGTTGGGTTTGGTGTTTTTTTATACAGTTGTTAAAGGTATATCAGAAAAGTTTTTCCTTGGTTTGACATGCATGTACATCCCATCTCAATAATTAATTACAGAAAGGTGTGTCTGGTTATATATTTTGTAGCATAAAACGTCATTGTAGTCGTTTATGAAATTAACATGTTTTAACATATGTATATTTTTTTAGTATTCATTGGTGTAATATTATTGAATATGTTTTGAATATCTGCTTTTATATTTCTTGAGTATTTTGTCTTTCAGTGCACTTTTCAACACTGATAATAATAAGAAATGTTTCTTGATCAGCATATCAGAATGATTCCTGAAGGATCATGTGACACTGAAGACTGGAGTGATGATGCTGATAATTCACCTTTGCCACAGTTATTTACTACAACGTTATTACAGCTATTTTAAATTGTGATCATATTTCACAATCTTAGTGTTTTTACTGCATTTGTGGTCAAATAAATGCAGCCTTGGTGAGCAAAAGAGACTTCTTTCAAAAAACAGCAGAGGAGTTACTTTTTGCAGCTTTTCTTGCAGGACTTAATCATTTATTATGTGCCTCTGTGTGTCCTTTTTCTTCAGAATCCTGTTTCCTTCTGTCCCTCACCAGTCGTACCCCACCCCTCTTCTGCCGTCAAGGTTATTTAAGAAAGCAGGGCATTGTGGGAAATAGCCACCTATGGCAACATGCCCGTGAGGCAGGACTTATGGCAGATCATCAGGGAGACACTTCAGTATCTGAATACCTGAAACATGCTGGCGCTGCAGTTGTTTCAACTATGAACTTTGACCTTTGAAGGGCATTAACGGTACCAAAGACCAAATCTGTCCTGCTAAAATCCTGTTAATCTACCTCCCATTTCTCAATTTACTTACATTTCCATAGAAAACGTCCCGCATCCAGCATCCTGAGACTACGATCAAACATACAGTTAAGTTAAATAATGAGTATTGCCTTGCCATAGTTTTTATAAACCAAAGTATAGATTTATATACTGTTTTATGGTGTTGGGTTTGGTGTTTTTTTATACAGTTGTTAAAGGTATATCAGAAAAGTTTTTCCTTGGTTTGACATGCATGTACATCCCATCTCAATAATTAATTACAGAAAGGTGTGTCTGGTTATATATTTTGTAGCATAAAACGTCATTGTAGTCGTTTATGAAATTAACATGTTTTAACATATGTATATTTTTTTAGTATTCATTGGTGTAATATTATTGAATATGTTTTGAATATCTGCTTTTATATTTCTTGAGTATTTTGTCTTTCAGTGCACTTTCTGCAATAATTCAATCTCAGTATTGCTAAGCAGAAAATGAAATAAACTTCAAACTCAAACATTTGTTCTCAAAGAAAAAAACATAAAAATTCAGTCGGTTTTGTTTGTCATGTGTAATGCTGTCAAAATGTGAGTTAAGCATGTTCTGAGTTCCTGATTTAATCCAGAGTAGGAAATATTATGCACACATCTTTTAGCAGATTTAGCATGTGAATTGTTCAATTATTTGAATATATTTTTACTTTTACATTTTGTGTCCCTTGTGTAAGTTTACTGAGGGTCCACTAGTGGGGATAACGTGCTAATCATAACTAACATAAATGCAGAAATTTTCAATAAATTCAACACTCTAATCGTTTTCATAAAAAAATTAATAAAATAAGCCAGAAATCACTTTTTCTAAAAAAAATTACGTACGTATATTTACTACGTTATGACGATACGTTCTCTGATTGGAAGAGCGCTTTAACAACATCGATGTTGATTGGCTGCCTTGGTCACGATGAATTCAGACTAAGCAATGCAGACGTGTTTTACTGAAAACGGGCGCAAAACATTGAAACAGCGCCATTTTGGCTCAAATAGACTCAGAGTTCAGTGCTTGTCAGAACACGGAACGGTTTGGATTCAACATCACAAAATTAAATTACAATGAAATTAACGCAAAAGCAACGTTTCTTTATTTAAAACTTAGCTCGAAATGCAGTTTTGAAGAATACTGCTAGTGTAACAATGCTGCGTTAGGTTTGTGCAACAGATACAGTATTTACATTCTGGCGGTACGTTACTGACATTTACATGCTGACTTTAGTGCAGTAGACGCCTTATTAGTATGGACGTGTCGAGCCCACTTGTTGCCGCCGCCTCGGATGGCGACCGGTCCAGTTCGGAGGGAGAGTACACGGTAGCGAACGGACCTGCGGCGAGAGACGGCGAGAAACGGGAGGAGGAGACGCCGATGGAGGCTGCAGGTGCGGTCGGGTTCAGTATCTCCCGTCTGGACACGCTGAGCGCGCTGAGGCTCAACCGAACCCGACCGTCAGCGGACACGGAGCTCCGGTACCTGCACTTGTTATGGCAGCCTGGTGAGCTGCTGCAGGCGGGACGGAGCTCGCCGGGCAAGATCACATCGAGTAGGGTGAGGCGGCTGGGAAGAGCCCGGAGGAACATGGGGCCCATTGGAAAAGACCTGTATGGTGTGCATGAACAGACTTGTTAAAAAAAAAAAAAATAATAAAAATATATATATATAAAAAATTTATTAGT